GCTCCGTAGTACAATTAATAGTATTAAAAACAATTCCTCATCTGGGACTGATGGGCTTACTCTCGAAATGTTCTTTGAACTTCCTAAATGTACATTAAACCATCTTACTACTTTAATTAACGTGTCATTCCAAAAAGGAGTTTTTCCAAACTGCCTTAAGACAGCAATAATTATTCCTCTGTATAAAGGAGGTGATAAAGATGAAGCTTCGAACTATCGGCCAATTGCACTCCTGCCCACATTATCTAAGATCATTGAAAGATTGGTTAAAAAAAGATTTCTATCTTTTCTCCTTAAATATAAAATACTTACTACCCATCAATTTGTATTTCTAAGTAACAGTTGCACAAATGATGCTATGTTCGACCTTTTTAATAATGTATACTCTAGCCTGAATAACCATCACTCTACAGCTACAATTTTCTGTGATTTCTCTAAGGCTTTCGATTGTGTAAATCATAATATCTTAATTAATAAATTGCAATACTACGGTTTCGGGGGAGTGCCGCTCGAATGGCTTAAGTCATATCTTGGCAACAGAAGGCAGCTTGTGAGGATTGATACGTCTATGTCTTCTTGTAAGCCTATAGAATGTGGTGTCCCTCAGGGTTCAGTACTTGACCCTATTTTGTTTCTGGTGTTTATCAACGACATTGCAAATCTGGACATTAGCGGTAAAATCTGCCTCTTTGCGGACGATACTAGTTTCACTTGGAGCGGCCCAGATGTTGCGGCGCTATATGATACTATATCCACGACTTACGCACCATTAAGTCTTGGTGCGATTCTAATCTCCTATGCCTCAACCTATCAAACACTAAAGTTTTGTCATATAAAAGTACTATAAACCTTTTGTACTTAATAACACTACTATTGACGTCGTGGACTCTGTGAAATTCTTAGGACTTCTTGTAGACAACTCGTTAAAATGGGACTCTCACATTGAAGCTCTATCAAAGAAACTAAGCGCTGCCTGTTTTGCGCTAAGATCAGTTTCTAAGGAACTTAACTTCTCAACCTCTAGAATAGCCTATTATGCCCTTTTTGAGTCACATCTTCGTTATGCCCTTCCATTCTGGGGTACTTGCTGCGCAACAAAATTTGATCGTGTTTTCATACTTCAAAAGAGAGCAGTTCGATATTTATTGGGACTGAACAGTAGAACTCACTGCCAGAATTTCTTTAAAAATTTGAAAATACTGACTCTTCCTTCTTTATTCATTTTTGAATCCGTTTGCTTAATCCGCAAGCACATATCTGCTATTCCCGAAAGGCCATCTCATAACTATCCACTTAGGAATGCAGAGCACGATCTTTATCTGCCAACCCCGAGCTCAGAACTAGTTAAGGGTTCAATACTGTACAATGCCAAAAAAATGTACAATCATCTGCCTTTGCATATCAAATCGCTTTCATTCTTTCCCGCATTTTGCAAGGCTCTAAAATCATACCTACTGGAGAGAGCCCTATACGCGGTAAACGACTTTTTTGCTGATGTTTGATTACGAACAATTTTGAATTTTAAAATTTTGATCATCTCACACACTGGTCAAAGGTCAAGTATTTAATATTCTATGACTTTAAAATTATATCTATTTACTGCGTACTGTTCTAAAATTGTCCATGTATATTCTTTTTGTAATTTTAAAGACTTAAATTTTTTTGAATTGTATTATTTGTATTGTGTATTTTTTGTTGTTTGTATTTTTTTGTGATTTTGTTGTTTGTGAGTGCTTTGTCGATGAAGCTGTTTTGGCTTTTTGCACAATAAAGCGTTGTTTGTTTGTTTGTTTGTTTTAGGTTATTCCAATTTGAATGAGATTTTTCTCATTCAAATTGGAATAACGGTTCTTAAAATATCTGAGAAAATGTGTTTATTTTTTTAAAGTTTGATGCCCTCTAATGGACAAACAAAGCACTTTTTTTATAAAGGCAAATTATTGTGTCCAATGAAGTTATTTCGATTCAAAAAATACGTAGTAGCTCTATGTCCACGTAATATTGGGACACCCTGTATATTCATCAAATAAAATGTGACACTTGTTATTGCAACGTTTAAATACTTTTAATAAATCGAAAAATAATCATAAATGTTATAAAACTATATAAATTTAGGAGCGTAAAGAATTAACTTTTATAACTCTAATTCTCTACGCTCCTGTGGAAGACATAAACCATGTCGAAATATAGAGCTATAGAATAAATTGAGTTTGATTTAGAACAGACCGCTTCTCGAGAATATATTACTGTTAGTACGCATACATATATCTACTTAATTATTCATCAATTAAAATGTTGGACCGAAATTGAAGTAATTTCGTGTCTTTAATTGTTTGTAAACTAGACCTCTAAACGGCAGAGATTTATTTGGAAATTTATGTACAAAAATCCGTTTAACAGAATACATTTCAAACTTTTTAGTGTAGAACTATATTCTTCTGAGGTTAGACTATATCTTCATTCTCGAAAATCTATAATCGTTGTCAGAAAATATGCTGTTTTATGTACTTTTGAAACAGCTGTATAGTGTCTATGTTGATCAAGATAACTTCTGCCTTCTCCAATAATTTCAGAAGTAACATCAATATTTGGATGAAAATTGGTGTCTGGTAGTTTTTTGACATGAGAAATTTGATTTTGATATCAATATGACTCCTTTTTGTAGGGGGCGCCACCTACATGTGTTTTAACTGTTTTGAAGAGTAATAACTTTTCGTCCGTACCTGTATAAAACTACCTAATGAAAAAATATACATTTCCGCAATTTTTTACGTAAAAAATGTCTCTTGGTAAAAATCTCTACGATCAACCGTTCTCAAGATATTTAGAATGGAAATAGTCAATACATGTCATTGACCAAAAATCAACATGTTGAATAGATGTTGATTTTTGATGTTGACTGAAATGATTTATTTGGAAATTTTTATTTTTTAAATTAATCTTAAATTTTTCTTCCAAAAAATACATACATTTATACGAACTTTTTTACTTGTTTTTATCTACAGAATATTCTGCCAAAGTTTCCGGAATAACAGTTCCGACCACCCTCTATAATACATAGTATATAAAATTATATAATAATTATTATATAATAATGAATAATATAGTATACAATTATATACATTATATAATACATATAGTTACAAACACGTCTAAAATATGAAATAAAATTATTATGTATTATGTCATTTCGTTACTTTTAAACCGCATTCAAAAAATGGTGACGCATTTTTTCAGTAATATACTCCCTGAGTGACAATTTTCTTTTTCTTTTTTAACATATTTCGGCTAAATGAAACTTGACCCGATTTTCCTTTCTTAAAATGGTCCCTCAAGTATTTACTACATTTTTTGTCTCCTGTAAAAAAATAGATTGTTCAGGGAATATTGGGCACCCTGTATATAGGGTATATCTGTTATAGAAATATTTTTTATAGTTTTCTTGGACACACTTTTATAATTTTGTGTTATTTTTCGATTTATTATAAAATTAAAAAAAAATGATTTTTTTATTCAAATCACATGACTGTGAAATCACAACCCTGCAAAAGCATTATGATTTGTTTTCCGCGCTGTTATGAAACTAAATTGTATTTTTTTTGCTTTTAATTGAGAAGAATTATATAAGACATACGTTTTGTATAATGTTTTTTTTTCATGTGAGAAATGAGTCACCGTGATTCACCGATTCTGAAGTGACTTCATTAATTAAAAATTCATCCCACAGTTTCAGCACATTCACGGCTAAACGGTTACTACGAAACAACTATCCTTCTATATTATGGCGTTCTCTGAAAAAAATAGCTGTTCTTGGAAGCGTTTAAATGAAAATAAATATACGATAGGTGTATTGTATTGCTTTAACCTTGTCTGTTTTTTTTTAATTAGACTAGATGTAATTTATACCGGGTGCGTCTCAAAATCCTATAACTTTTTTATTTTTACAGATAAAACAACGAGATTTGGTATGTTAGTATATGATATAATATGGGATTGAATGACATATTCAATTGTTTTCATCGGAAATGACTGCAACTTTTAATTTTTAAGTGGTACCCGGTATTTTTTTACTTTATTCGATAGAAAATAACAGTCTGAATAGAATGACATATCATATGTCAACTTTTAACATTTTCACATATGGTTTATTTGAAATTGTAACATACGGTTCATAACGACAATTTAACTCGAAATGCCAAGTGTGTGATATCACATTATTGGTAAAAAATGCTTTTTCCAAATATGCTAATGAGCCACCATAGTTCCATTTGAAAAAATTGAGATATGAGTAAAAATACGACTTGAGCATCTTTTAGCCGGCCAGGACAAGACACTAAAAACATTAGACGATCAAATCTATTTTTCCAAGGCTCCTTGATTAAAAATTATTGTTTTTAACACAGCCACTCTAGATTGAAATTTAAAATACAATTTGTTTTTGAGCGAAAATGTCAAAAGTTGACATATGATATGTCTTTGTATTCAGAGTGTCATTTTCTATCGAATAAAGTAAAAAAAATACTGAGGGTGCCATTTAAAAAGCAAAAGTTGTAATAATTTCCGGTGAAACCGGAAGTGACCGAAAACAATTGAATATGTCAATCAATCCTAATTTATGTCATATACATATAACATACCACATCTCCTTGTTTTATCTGAAAAATGAAAAAAGTTATAGGGATGAGCCATTTTTGAGACGCACCCGGGATTCCCGGGATACAAGCTTACAAACAACAAACACAAGATTACAAACCAAACCAAACCAAACATAATATGTTTCTTAAAGAAAATATTATTTTCGCTTAGAGTATTTTACATATCCAATTTTCAAAAAAGGCTCCTCTGATAAAAATCTATTAAAAAGGTGCTTTAAGACTTGTAAGACTCTTGCAACAAGACCATAATGGGATCCTGCAAGACCAAAACCAAGGAATTCTTGGTGTCGGTCTTTATACGACGAAATATCCCGGAGTATATTAATCACCCTTATTTTGTTCCAGGCTTCCATGGATCTTCCTCCCGACAAAGCCAAACTTTTGAAAAGCTACGACTCCGAGAAGAAATGGGATATTATCTGTGATCAGGTATGTTTTTTCTTCTTTACGCTTTAATAGGTACTCATTAGTTAAATACAGGGTGGTCCATCGAAAACATTCCGCAAGGCATAACGACCAGGGTATTTATTTTTTGAAAAAGTCCAAATACACGTCAATTTTGTTCGTGAGGGGGGCAACTTTTTCCTCAAAAATGTTTGCAAAATCTTCAACCCTCTAAGCGGGGGTGTCATCCCCCAACTTTTTTCAAATGGGAAGGGGGGTCAAGTGGTGCCGCAATGAAAAGGGCTTTCTATTCTCTATATTTCCCCGCTTTGTTTTTAAAAATCGGTCGAGTCATTTTGAAAATATGAAGGATTGAAATTTGAAAAGTACTTTTTGCAAAAAAAACGCATAAATTGAATTAATTAAAAAAACTTAACTTATTAATGAAGCAAAAGCTGAAAATATTGCCCGTCAACCTCCATACAGTAATACAAATTATTTTCAAACCGTTCTCGAACATTCTGAAGAACTTGCGGGGTCACTACGCGACAAACATCAATAGTTCGTCTTCGTGGGTCTTCTAATGAGGCGGGTGGAGTGCTATACACTTTACTTTTTATGTGTCCCCTTTAAAAAATAGTCTAAAGGAGTCAAGACGGGTGACCGGGGAGGCCACTCAATTACACCCCTTCGTCCCATCCACCGACCGGGAAAGTTATTGTTTAAGTAATTACGCACATTTTGAGAGTAATGTGATGTAAGTCTTGTTGAAATATTAGTTCCGCTTCAACGTATCCAGGATTGTTCTCTATGATGTCAGTTAGGGCTGGGTCGATGGTATTTTCCAGTAAATCCAAGTACATATGACCTGTTAGATTTCCAGGGAGAAAAAAAGGACCCACAATAGAATTTCTAAAAATACCAACCCACACGTTCAATTTCTGAGGGTTTTGTGTGCTTTTGTCCTCAGCTCAGTACCGACAGTTGTGCCGATTAACTACACCGTTCAAAAATAAAGTACACTCATCCGAAAAACACACATTAAATAACGCATAAGTCACAGAACAGCTATCTAGCAAGTACCTACCACACCTGATTGTTCAATCTTGTGGCACGTAAAAAAATGCGTAAACATCTAGAAATTATAAGAAAAAAACAGCAAATTGGTGGAAGGAATTTATCCTTATCATTTACTCTGATACATGTTTAAATAAACTTTTCAAATTTCAATCCTTCATATTTTCTCAATGACTCGACCGATTTTCAAAAACGAAGCGGGAAAGTATAGAGAATAGAAAGCCCTTTTCAATGCGGTACCACTTGACCCCCCTTCTCATTTAAAAAAAATTGGGGGATATCACCCCCGCTTAGAGGGTTGAAGATTTTGCAATCATTTTTGGGGCAAAAATTGTCCCCCTCACAAACAAAATTGACGTGTTTTTGAATTTTCTGAAAAAAAAATTACCCTGGCCGTTACGCCTTGCGGAACGTTTTCGATGGGCCACCCTGTATAATTATATAATATAATGCTCTTATATAATTTTATTATATACCTAAAAACTGCAAGAAATTTATTTTCCATTATATAATAATATTATTTATATAATAAACACTTTTACTTTTATTAAATATAAATAAAAAAGTTATGACTAGATGATCTCAAATTACGCAATTTTTAACACATTTCAATAACGTAGGTATGGGGGTTAGCATAATAAAAATTACCCTCGATTATCATTTCAAAGATGGCATCGATTTTTTATCATACAATATTACATCCTTTATCCTTATTGTTACATGCATGTGTGCATGAGATGGGCATTATTTTAAATTATTTTGTTTCTTTATTTTTTTACCAATGGTATTCGCTATAAAATAAACAACAAAACTCGGAAAATATGTTAGTATTTCTTAACCACTATATCATCATCAACTTTGTAATTTGGGCCTATTGTTATCTATTGTTGGCTATGTGGGACCAAGTTATCCCTGCTAATTTCCTAATGTCATGGTCCCATCTCAGGTAGGTTCGGTCTTCTTCTAGGTATCCTAATTCCTCTTGAATAACATGCTGTAATTTTTGTGGTCCATTTGTTGTCTGTTCTTGCTAGGTGTCCTGTACCATTGCCACTTGAGGGATTTGCATCTGTGGATGACATCTATTACCTGGGTCTTTTGTCGTATCCACTCTATTCTTTTACGGTCTCTCTTAGTTGTTTCCAGCATATTTCGTTCCATTAAGCGTTGTGCGACCTGCAGCTTCCTTATGAAGTACGTTTTAAGTGTCCAGGTTTTGCATGCATAGGTCATGACGGGTAGTACACATTGGTCGAATGTTTCCTTCTTTAGATAGAGTGGCATTCTAGATTTGATTACAGTTGAGGGTTGGAAGTTGGAACCTTTGGTGTTACACAGCAAAATAAAAAATTTTATTTTGTTATTCTAGATTTGAATATGATTAAATTTCTTCCATAAGTACTCCATGCTAACTTAATTCTTCTGTTGATTTCTGGTAGTAGAGATCCTGAGCTGTGTATTAGTTGTCCCAAATATCTACAGGGTGTTTCAAAAAACATGTGCCATCTCTCGTGGGGAGATTCCTCACGTAAAAATAAGAATTATTGTTCATATCAACATAGGTCCGATTCTGCTTTGTTTCGTAGCTACAGGGTGTTAAAGTCTTAATAACCTTTCGATTTATTATAATTTTCTTCCAAGTACTTTTAGTGATTGTAATGAAATTTTGAGGGTAAATGTTTATAGTAACATCTACCCTCAAACTTTGCTACATATTTTAATGCTATAAAAGTGTCGATAAATTCATCAGGGACGTGCATATGGGTTATCACTGGAATATTTAAAAAAAACATGTGCGCCATTGACTTTTTTCTTTTGAAATCAAAATTGTATAGGCCGTTTAATGCCAATTAAAAGTTACGTCTTAATATTTTAATTCGGCCTCCTTGATGAGGTAAATCCAATTTTATTAATCATAATTAATAAACTAAAAATAAAATTCATAAATTGTTTATTTTACCTAATTTATTATTAAATATTATTACTATTAGTTATTATTACTATTAGTCCATCAAAAACAGCAATTTCAAATAAAAAATAATGGTATTTAAGATAATAATTACAAAAAAAACTAATTTTAAGACGTTTTCACATCCTGTAACTATAAAAGTATGCATTTCCATACCCATGTTTATAGGACCTTTTTTTCATATTTTTTGATGAGGAATCAATGAGTACTTATTTAAAACTTTTGTAAGTTAATGATATTGAATTTTTTTAAAGGTTGCTATTAGACTTGGATCAAGGCAAGTAATTAACAAAATTGGGTTTATCTCATCAAGGAGGCCGAAATCGATAAAATATCAAGAGACAACTTTTAATCGACATTGAACTGTTTACACTATTTCGCTAACAAGATAAAAAAAGTCAGTGACGTTCGTGCATTTTTTAGTAAAATATTCCAACGATAACCCATAAATATGCACGTCCCTGGTGAATATGACGACACTTTTTTAGCTTTAAAATATGTCGCATTTATAGTAACTTTTACCCTCAAAATTTTATTCGAAACGCTAAAAGTACTTGGAAGACAATTACAATAAATCGAAAAAATATTAAGACTAACACCCTGTAGCTACGAAACAAAGCAGAATCGGAGCTATGTTGATATGAAAAATAAATCTTATTTTTACGCGAGGAATCTCCCCACGAGAGATGGCACAATGCTTTTTGAAACACCCTGTATATTCTTCTATTATTTCCAGCGTTGTGTTATATACAGGGTGTCCCAGGCTGAGCGTGCATTAGAAATTTCTAGAGAACTACAATATCTAGCTCGGAGATTTTTTGCATATCATAGTTTAACAACGAGATCTATCGATTAAAAATATTTTCAATATGGCGGCACTTCCGGAAATACCGGAAATTGACAGGAATTTTCTTATTTTAAATAGGTGCTCCCATTTTTTTATTACGTACTTAAATTCTCTGTAAAGTTTTATGAATTTTGGTATTAAACACTCCATAGTATCTAACATTGGCCGTATTTGAGAAAAAATATTATTTAAATTTTTTGAACGAAAAAAACTGCCTGTCAAAAATATGTGTATAGCCTAAATGTCAAATTTAGTGATAACCAGAGCTACTGTGCCAGAGAAAACATTTGGCTATCTATTGCTAAAATTAAATTGTTCGAATGTCATATAATAATGGTCGCAGCTGTCATAGAATTGTGCGATTAAAAAATTATTATATAGGTATAATTTTTTTCAAATGGAAACCCACTTTTTTTATTTCACTAGTGGAAAGGCTTTCCAATTCGTTACTTTTTGACTATACATGTTCCTATACCTAAAATAAATTAAGTTATTTGAGATTTAGTTTTAAAGCGTATATTTTTCTTGATTTTAATCAGTAGCCTATGACTTTAAACGTCAAGTGATGTCATATTATGACGCTTTGTTCAAAAAGCAGCATCATTTCTGAGCCAACTTTGCGCTGTTTTTTTCGATAATACGGAATATTATTAATAATATCGTTCGTTGTACATTACTTTAGTTTTTGCTAAGATCATTCATAATACAAGATAATATACTGTATTAACTTTATGATTAAAACATCTTTATCTTTAACAGTTAAAGTCCCCCCGTGCAAATTATTTATCTGTCATCATACAAAGCACGTTTAATCATAGAACTTTGAAATCACATTTGTATACTGTGCCGTAGATTAAAAAAGCATGATGATACAACGTTGAAAAAATTAGCAATAAACATATTCAGCTATATTTTTAAAATAAATCATTATCCAAAAAAACTGTCTATTCTTTTTACTTTTGGGATAATAACAAAAGACAAATATTATGAGATATTGCCTGCCTTTTGAGGCTTTATTTAGATATTAAATACGTCAAGAACTAACGACAATAAAGGAAGACGCTCATTTTATTCAACATGTGCTAACCATTTGGGACTTGCATAATTTGTTTTATTTTTGTTCCGAGTCTAAAAATGGAAGTTGTCGACGAC